AGATGAAATAATAGTATTTAAACAGTGGAAGGGAAAAAGTCCTTGGAATAGGGATCTGGTCTTTCATCCTCCACACAACCCCGTAGCAAACAAAGCAATAACATTTGGGGGCTCACAGAGGGCAGCTCTGGGGGGGAGGTGGGATGTTGGTTGTGATGAACGGGGAGGGGGGTACTGCTGGAACCGTCAAGGGGAGAAAGTTTGGGCCCATTTCCTACGGAATTCAGTGCCATGTCTCACTCCACAGAGCTGCCACATCAATGGGAAATTTTCATATCAAGCCGAACTCGAAAGGGAGGGTAAAACCAACTCCCGCTTCCCCATCGGAGCGTCTCCATCGCAAAAGCCTCTCCCGCTCTATTTATACGCTGGATAAATCAGTCTCCAGACTGTTTCCATAGATAACAGAGTTCTTCTCCTGCTGTTGTCTCCAACAGCTTCTTTCTCCCCCCACTATATTTTGCACGGTTCCTACCTATCACCTCGGTGAGTAATTCTCCTGCTCTGAAGCAAATGACTTGGGAGCGAGCCGGGATTTTCAAGCAGAGGGAGATTTTTCATCCCCCTCTTGCTGAATTTTGCTCCTGATAACCCCGAGAAATCCTGCAGGAAGGGGAGCTATAGGTGACTGCATCTGATCCCGATGTTTAACCTTGTTGCAGTCTCCAGGAATTAACTATTTAGGAGGTGAGCAGCCGACACAGGCGTCGCTCCGGGATAACACGGCCAGGCTGGTTCGCAGCCACGCCGATCTTCCCACTAAAAAAAAAAAATCCTAATTCTCACTACAGAGCTTCTGCAGGGGGCATTGCCAAGGGCTGGGATCTTTCTTTGAAATAAATAACTCAATAAATGCAGCGGGTCCCTATTTCGGGGACCAGTGGATGCGGCAATTCCCCTCCCAGGGATGGGGTGTTAATGGGATTTGTTGCTCCTGGTTGGGGGGCGAGGGGGGTTAATCCCTTCCTTCATGTAGATCCCTGCTAAGCTGGTTTAGGTCATGTTTAGAGTTAAAGTTTTGTGGTACAGGCTGTGTCCATCCATCCATCCTGCAGCGCCGGGCACAGGGATGAACCAAGCTCCCACCTCATCCCCCAGCACTTAAAAATGCAGGTGAACCCTTGAGAGAAATTCGAAAAACCAGGTTTAGGTTCCACCAACGTGGTGAAAAAGCTTGTAAAGGCTTTTAGAAACCCTGCATTGTCGCTCAGGGAAAGCTCCCAGCGAGGCCCAGAGCCCTTTGTTTGCTGCAATGGGATTTATCAGGGAGCGGGAAGTGCAGGAAAGGGAATTTTTTTCCCCCCAACCGGGTGCTCAGCACCCACCTGCAGGGACCCATTCCCTCGGTGTCGCCTCTGCTGTCGGCTCCAGCTGATTGTGGGGGTGCACCTTTGGGGTTTGGGGTTGTGTTCTGAAGCCCATCATCTTGGAGGAGCCTGCAAAGCGTTAAATAGCCTCACCTGACCTCCTCCAGCAGAGCCAAGCTCTGCATCCTTATTTAGGGACATACATCACCTCCACAGCTTTTCCTCTGGCGCTGGGGGTGGAGCAGGGAAGTGAAATGTCGTGAAGAAAAAAAAAAAAAAAAAAAAAAGTAAGTCTAAATCCATCCGAATTTGCCTCGAAACCCCTCTTGCCATCCCAGCCTTCCTGAGTGAGAATCCAGGCGATCCCGGCTGGGATGCGCAGGAGGGCCGGACACATATGCCGTGCCATATGGAGCGGCGCGATCCTGGTCAATCGGATCTTTGGGAGTTTTATCGTTTAATTTCTTAATGTGCTAATAGTGCAGAGGGAGGGGGATGGATCATCAGTTAAGTCCAAGGATTTATGTTTTTAAGGGAGCGTAATGTATTTTCGAGCGGGTCGGAGTGGGCTTTAAATATCCCCGGCCAACGTGATGGGCAGGAGGGTGAGCTGGGAAAGGCTCTGGAAGATCCCTTTGAGCTTTAACCCAGTGCAGGTTTATAACATGGCATCCAGCTCCGTGTGAGCTGAAATTCAGGGAGAAAATCCCCGTGTCCATTTGGTAAAGCCATTTTGCCCAGCGCTGAGGACTCCAGGCTGTGCAATCCCTGTCCTGGGTCTGCATTCCCCATGGTTTCCATCCGTGGGTCCATCTCCGTGGCTCAGCTCAGGCCACTTCCATTTGAAGCCACGAAGGATGAACGGCAAAACATCCCCAAGGCCCCTGATCCTCCGTTTCCCCGCCTAAAGAGGGAATTGCATTCCCTTCCTTCAAATTGCCATTGGGATTGGCGCTTATGCACAATCCCAGAGCGCTTTGGGATCCTCCAAAGGAAGGTTTTACCAAGAGAGATAAAACCCTGTTACTTACAAAAAAAAATACACAGAAGCAATTTTGGAGGGGTATCGAAACGACGACTTTTCACCTCCAACGTCCCATGAAACACATCTATTTATTTCTAAATAACACGGCTCAGCTCTCCATAAATCTCCGAGGCAGGGAACCAAGGAGGAGATGAATTACGTGCCGCTGTGACCCCGTCCCTGGTCCCCATCGGGCAGCTGCCTGCCGGGCAGGGACGGAGGCTCCCGTGGCCCGTGGCTCCAGCTGCGGTTGGAAGCGCGGCGGTCTCAGAGGGATGCTCTGGCTGTTGGCTTCTGTCAGCCAGACCTTCAAATCTGCTCCTTACGATTCCTTATTTGCATTGCAAACAGCTCAAAGGAGGTATATGAGGAGTAAATAGGGTTGGGTTGGGGTTTTTTTGTAAGCTAATATTGTGTCTGTCCTTGGAGGGGGGGTGATATTATAAAGGGCAGGCGGGGAGATTGTTGCGCTCTCACGGACAGTTTTTGACATCTAATTTCCAGAATTTTTTTTTTAAAACTCCTCTGATTTGGTGCATCAGATGAAATGTCATTAATAGCAATGGGAAACAAAATGGGAAACAGCAGCAAGGAGAAAGGGCCGAGGCTCCCAGCCACATCTGGGGATGGCAGGGGGGCCCCAATGTGCTCTTGTGCTTATTCAGAGCTGGACACTCCTGCCCAGCCCTGAACACACAGACAGACTCCAGGGGTAGGAGCCACCTGCTCCTGCTTCCATGCAGGTTTTTCTCAGCAACTTCTAGGCCTCGACTGGGGAGGGGAAAAAAAAAAAAAAAAGAAAAAAAAAGAGGGATGTATTTGTCTCCGTGCAATGGGAAGGAATATCCGAGCGCTGCGGCGCGGGTGCGTCGCGAATGAGCTCAGCGGCACCGGAGCTGCGGCTTGTGCGGAGAGATCCCAGGAGCGGGCACATGCCCTTGACACGAAATCACCCGGCGAGTAATAAAGGATTTCCTGCCTTCAGAGCCTGCTTGAGCCGGGGGGTTTAGCCCGGGTTAGGCTGCGCAGCGCCCTGACAAGGTTACAGGGTCTGACAGGGCGCTGATGCCGGGAACACGCTGATAGCCCTGGATGTAGATGTGTAGGTAGCCACGGCATGCGCTCCTCACCGGCAGGACCTCACCGTAAACAAAAAGCGCTCTCCTCTCCTTGAAATTCACCTTGAACGCAGTGAGACGGGAGGGGGTTTGTCGGCTGGGGTTGGTTTGGTTCCTTTTTTTTATTATTATTAGTATTATTATTATTCGTCACCCCTTTCCCCCCACAATTGTCAGCAGAGAGGCTGCAAAAAAAGCCGAGGAGGCACTGCAGGCTGCGCAGCGCTGGGAGCTGTCAGCCCCACGCCACTGCAGTGATGTCAGCCCGCAGCCACAGCCACTGCCACCCCCAGCCCCTGCACACACGCGAGTGCAAGAAGAAGAATTCATAATTACAGTAGCGTAGCCATGAAACCAGCAGTGCTGGGGGTGGGGAGGGGGGAGAGAGCGAAGCCTCATCCAAAATTGGTGCTTTAATTTTTTTTTTAATATCTTTTTTTTTTTTTTTTTCCCCACTCTCTCCCTGCAAAGCTGCACCCAGCTCTGCAGCATCCTTTCTCTGCAGTGGGGTTTGGGGGGGCCAGGGCAGGGGGTTCCCCCCCGGCATCCCCCCCAAAGCGGGTGGAGGGTGCGGGGGGGAGCTGGGCAGGGCTGGAGGCTCTTTCCCCGCGGGTCGCTGCTTGTTTTAAAAGGCAGCATTTCTGCGGACAACACCCGGAGCATCTCTGCGGGAGCGGGGCTGGGGGCGAGGGCTGCAGCCTCCTTGTTTGCGGCGCACGGAGTCAGCAGCTGGGATTTTTTTTTTTTTTTTTTTGGCTGAATAATCCTTTACGGGGAGGGGGTGTGCGGGGAAAGGAGGGGGAGCTGGGGGAGGAGGGAGGGAAAGTGGATCAACATCACCGAAGGAGGACAGCGAGCAAGATTAGGGCTGGCTAATGATAAATGAGAAGGCGCCGCTGACAGCTCCGCGCTCCGCGCAGCGCCCGCCCGGCTGCTCCGCGCTCCCTCCGCACCCTCCGGCCGCCCGCTCCTCTCCAACCCGCCGGCCTGGCTCCAGCCCCCCCACTCCTCCCCTTTTCTTTTCTATATATATATATTTTATATATAAATATATATATGTAATTTCCACCTCCCTCCGCATAGCGCGGGGGGGCCGCATCCCACACCCCGCCTCCCCGAGCATCCTCCGCGGGATTACGCGCTCCGCACCGGCTGCAGGACGGAGGGACCACGGCGGGGCTGCCGCAGGGGTATTCTTCGCTGCTCTTCTTGGGGGAGTTGGGGTTAGGGTCGGGCCGGGAAGGGGGGTGGGTGTGAATAGACAAGACACCCCTCAGCACCCCACGGGGGAGGGGGGATGCAGTGGGGGTTGAGGTTGCCCCTCGCCCCCCCCGCGCCCTTTCTTCCCCCCTGGAGGGCTGAGGCGGGGAGGGGGGATGAAGGATGAAGGATGAAGGATGAAGCCAGGGCGGTTTATCCGTGGGCTCTGCCTCCCCCATCGTACCCGGGTGACCTTTCAAATCAAAGCCCGGCTCGTACCTACCAAGGTGCATTGGGCAGCAAGGGCTGAGGGGGTGATGGGGAGGGGGGTGATGCACCCGGCCTCCCCTCCCTCTGCCTTTCCCTCTCCCTCCCTCCCTCCTCCTCCCTCCCTCGCTGCTCCCTCCCTCTCTCTCTGCTGCATTTTGCATGAGCTATCTAGGTCATTAGCATTTTAGCGTATGCAAGACTTGACAAAGCTGATGAGAAGCCAGATGGGCCCCTCTCCTCTTTTTTTTGCACCACTTGGGATCTGAGCGAAAGGATTGACTGCAGCAGGCGAACGGGGGAAGGTTTATTGCGCTCCTCCAGACCCCCCCCGTTTATAGCAGCGCGGCGGGGCTCGGGGCAGGCGGCAGAGAGCGGGCAGCGGCGGGCAGAGACGGAGGGCAGGTAACGGGGCCCCCCCGCCGCCCCCCCAACCCCACAGCCCGGGGGTTCTTTGATTTCATAGAGGGTTTTTTTCCGAAGGGGGGGTTAGGTTGGGTTTTATCCTTCCCCCCCCCCCCTCCGCCCATGGGGAAGGGCGCGCCGGAGCCTCCGCGGGGCGCGGAGAACAAAGGCTGGGCTCCGCGGAGTCCCTCTCCCCCCTCCCCTCCTTCCCCCTCTCCCCTTTTTTTCCTTTTCTTTTCCCATTTCCCCTTCTTCTTCTATGCATTTTCTTGCTCCCGAGGAAAGGCCCCTCTCTCCGTGTTCACAGCGGACCTTGATTTAAATGTCCATACAATTAAGGCACGCGGTGAATGCCAAGAACGAGGCTGACCAGCATCGAGGCCGGAGGCGGCTCCGCGGCTCTCCCGCACCTGCGGAACTCCCCACGCCCCCCCAGACCCCTTAAGCCCCCCAAAATACCCCCCTGAGCTTGGCCGCGGGGCGCGCAGGCAGCGCTGCGCACCGGCGCAGGTGGCACCGCAGCGCGGGGAGGGGGCGGAGAGGGACGGATGGGATGGGATGCGATGGGATGGGATGCGATGGGATGGGATGAGGGGACAGGACAGCTTTTGCGAGGATGACCAGCATGAAGGAGAGGGGATCCTTGCTCTTACAGGAGCCCGGGGAGCGGAATCGGGAGCTGTCACCCGGGGGTGCCCCGCGGGTGGGCCCCGGGGGAACGCGGCTGCTGCCCCGTGGGAGGGGTCCCGGCTGCTGGCCCCGGGGCTGCTCCGCTGCCGCCGCTTTGTGCTTTGCCTTTTCTTTCGCCTTTTCTCCGCAGAGCGATGGGTTTTTTTCCCCTTGCTAAAAGCAATGGCAGGTCTTGGGGTCACCGGGGCTCACGCTGCTCCCCCGGCGGGGGAAGGAGAGGGGGGGAGGCTGAGGCAAAGCCGCTTTTTTTCTTTATTTTTTAAAGCTTTATTATGATATTTATTTTTTTTTCCGGTGGCTGTTTGTGTGTCTTTCCCCTCCACCCTCCCTCTCCTTTTAATCCTTATAATTTAAATCAAAAGTGCCGGGGAGAAGAAGGGGGGGAGCGCTGTGTCTGCAGGGCGAGGCCGGGCGTAAATCTCTTGGAGGGATAAACATGTCATTTGTTTCCTTTGTATGGTAATGCTGTCCCCCCCAGCTGCCCCCACCCCCAGCAGCTGCCCCGGCCATACATCCTCCCTACAAAGATCCCAATTACCCATCGGCTGCCTCATTATACTCCTTACACAGCCCTGGCGAGAGGCGTGTGTGTGCGAGGAGCCGAGGGGAAGGGGGGGGAGGACTAAGGGGGGTGAAACAGCACCTGAATTATTCAGAAAATAAAATAAAATTCAAGAAACGGGAGGCGGCGGGAGGGAGGGGGACGGAGGGATGCTGCGACCCCGGAGGGATGCTGTGACCCCGCGGCCTAAGACGGAGCAGGTGCCCCCCGGAGCCTCCTGCAGCGCAGGGGCTGCTCCCCCCTCTACCCCCCATACCCCACTGGTTTATTTTCCCCCCTCCTTTTTCACGCTTTTATTTTTATTTCGTTTTTTTTCCTCCACCTTTTTAACCATCGCCACCCCTCTGCCCTGCTCCCCGCTGGGGCCCTTCACCTCCCTGCCCTTCTCCCATCCCTCTCCTCCCTTCCCTTCTCTCTGCAGCTGGAGGCCAACCCGCCCCGCATCCCTTCATCCCGGCCCATCCCAGCGCTCCCGGCAGGTGCCTCGCACCGGGGGAGGACAGGCCTTAGCAGAGGGGACAATCCCCCAGCCCTCAGAGCTGTTCCCGATTTGAGGGACCCTCGGTGATGGCGCGGGGGGGTCCCTCTCTCTTTGCAGCTCCACGCACGGACCCTCACCTACGGAGTGGTGCCCTTGGGAACACTGACAGCGGCTCGGGGTCCCTGGGACACCTCTTTGCTCCCCACTTCCCCCCCCCGCGGGGTGCTGCAGGTATTTCGGGACAGCCCTCCCTGGGCTCTCCTCCCAGTCGGGTGCGGATGCCGCAAGGAGCCCGTCGGGTCGTGCCGTGCCAATAAAGCTCTTTCCTCGCGGGTTCCCGCATCCTCTCCTTTGTTCGCGGAGGTTTCTCGCCCGTCTCTTTCCGGCAGCCGGAGGCAGGACCCCCCTGAAGGACCCGCACTCAGCACCAGGTGGGGGATGAATATTAAAATCCACCCCAAAATAAAAAACCTCAGCCTTTCAATTCGGCAGCGCCACAGTCGCCTGTTTGACCCTGAGGCGGGCGCCTCCACATCCTGGACCTCCAGGAGAGCCTGAATTGCCGGAGGGCTCCTGTTTAATGAGTAAAAGGGGGAACCAGAAAGAGCTTTGGGGTGCCTTCTGTCCGGGATGGCAGGCAGATCCCTGCCCCGCCGCGCTATGCGCCGAGCATCCTCCTGCTGCACCGCCGGCCCCGGCAGCACCCAGCCCTCTCCAGCAGAACGGATTTTCCTCTAAAGCTGCGGCATGGGAGAGAAAAACGAGACCTAAATAACCCCAAATAAATAAACAACCTGTTCATGTCTTGCGAAAGTGACCGGGATGAGGAGACACCATCACCGCGCATCTGAAGGCGGGAGGCCTGGGACCCCTCCAGGGCCCGGCTGCCTCCCTCAGGCTCGGCCCAGGGGGATGGAGAGGAGGGGGCAGGAGGCTCTTATTAATACTAATCCCAAGAAATATTGCTATGCTCTGAATAAATCAGGCTGGGGGTTTCTCAAAGACCTTTGCCCCCTCGAGAGGAGCTGCAGCACGGCCCCTCCTCTTCTGGGTGGATACTTTGGGAAGGGAAATGGAAATGGTGTGGAGGGAGGGGGGGGTGGTGGTGGACAGATGCGTTTGATTTTTTCACTGAGGGCTGGAGGAGGAGGTGGCATGATTTTATTCCAGGCACGTCAGCTCCCCCCTCCCTCCCTGTCCCCTCCTTCCTCCCTCCACCCGCAGTCCGATGTAAACATAACGGCTCGAAACCTGCCAGGCTCCATCCCCAGTTGGATTATAGGGGGGAATTAAGCAGCTTGTGAGGAGGTTTGATTAACACAGGGATGCCCCCAAATAACCTTCAGGCATCTGGCCTCAAGGTCGTGCACTGGAAGGGGCCAGCAGGGCTGGGGACAGGGACCCTCAGGTACCCCAAGGTGTGGGGAGAGGGAAGGGAGGGATGGAGCGGAGAAGTGGGATGTGCAGATCCCTCCATCTGCGATTTTATGCCATTTTTATTTCTCCTGCCCACGCCCACCCCTGACCAACGCGCTCGCCACTGCAGCACTGCCTGGGCTCTGAGATGCTCCGGCTCCAGCGGGGAGGCAGAATGGAAGATGTGGGAAATTCCTCTGTTTCCCTCATTTCCCAGCTCTCTGCTGAACATCAGCCCCATCCAGCCCTGCTCTTCACCCAGCCATGAAGGATGATGGCCTCCCAGCAGAAAGGTCTTTTCCTCCATATCCCCACAACATCCAGCTCCTTTTTTCCATTTGTTTTTATGCCATGTGCCTCCTTGAACTGCAAACCAACATCTCCCCCACCAGCAGCAGCCAAAGTGGGCGTTTTATTGGGAAATCTAATCAGGTTTCGAGGGGAAAATCCTTTCTTAATGTCTCAGCTAAGCAACGAGTTCCATTAAATTGTTTAGACTATAAAAAGGGCAGAGAGTCCCATATTCTTTTTCCTCTCTGCTCTTCCTGGACAGCACCGTCATCTCCACACACCACTCCACCGTCTTCAAAGCCCAAACAAGCCTCAATGACACAGGACTCACATGTCATTCCCTGACATCCCCCCCTGCCCCGCCTCCCCCCAGCAACAGAGTCACAAATCATCTCAAACACTCTAAATTTAGCCCGGCAGCGAGACCACGAACAGGCATTTCAGTGACATCACTGCTGGAAATTAAGGGGTCAAATAGGGAAGCCGAACGTGGCACCCTGAGGAGCGGGGATGCCCTGAGGAGCCATCCTGTTTCCCCTCTTAGGACATCTCAGAGCAGCCCCTCAAAATGTGTTTTTCCCATCACCCAAAATGCCCAGGACTGAGCAGTCAGTAGATTAATTCCCATCAGGAGCTGCACTGAAAAGGCCGCGGGGCTCCAGCGGATCAGCACTGCTGGGATGCGCGGCGGGACCTGGAGAGGAGAAACCAAAGGAGCAAAACCCGTGAGCTTTGCCCGGAGCAGAGGCTGAGAGAGAGGCAATTCCTGCCACCTCGGGGGCTGGAAGGTGTGTCCAGCATTCCCTGCTGGCTGGTGGTGATGGAGGATACACCGTTTCCATGGTACTTGCACAGTTGAGTGTGTGTTCGGTCCCCAGTCCCTGTGATTTACGGGGTGGTGGGGATGCTGTGGGATCCCAGGACCGGCAGTGCTCCCTGTGTGCTTTGCCCAGAGCCAAAAGACACTGCACGCTGGGAAAAGGGAGCCAGGGTTGAGTCCTGAGGTGGGAATGGGGCTGCTTTGAAGCAAGAGGTCCTGTGTTCCAGAGGATGAGGAAAGAAGAGAGATTCCCATGGTTCCCATTGCAGTGCAGCTGGAGGGGCAGATCCCAACCTCCTCAACAAGAGCACATGGATTCTTAGACTTATACAATCCCAGAATGTTTTGGGTTTGAAGGGCTCTTAAATCTCTGCCATGGGAAGGGACACCTTCCCAGGTTGCTCCAAGCCCTGTCCAACCCAGCCTTGGACACTCCCAGGGATGGGGTGTGCCATTCTAGGGACAAGTCTAGAGTTTAATAAGAGGCTCTTAAGAGGCACTGAGCGTTCAGAAACTACCTGGACCCTCATCCAAGGGAGTCATGCTGACATCATACCCAGTGAAATCACAGCTCTTTAATCGTTACAGATGCCAGGAGGGATTTGAGTGGTAGCACTCACTCATGTGAACCTACAGATTGTGATACATTAACACACCCATGCTGGCCCCAGGAACCCTCATCCAGAAAATGCCCATCCTACTGTTTAGTGTAAACATCCTCATTTTAGGACTTGAAGCTGTTCCAGCACTAAAAGCCACATTAGCAGGAGCCCAGACCCTTCCTGCCCTGCACTGTGTGTTCAAGAGAGAAACCTACATGGAGTTCCCCTCAAGGTGTTTTGGGATTGTTTAAGCCAAAATACAGGATAACAAGAGAATAAAATGCCCCAGTGGTTGGTCACTGGAGGTGACCAGCAGCACAACCTGTCCCCAGACCCAAGGCAAGCCCTGAGCAGCCTGGCTACAGGATTTACCCTCTCTTGCTGTCTCTCTTCTGAGCATATTTAAGGAGCTGGGGACAGTCTTTAGGCTCAGTGGAGGACACCCCTCCTACTCTTTGCACTATATTTAAGCTGGGTCCAGTCCTCAGCAAGTGTTTTCCAAGTGTCCCAATCACTCCTCAGCAGCCTTTGGGTTTGAGAGGTAGAGGAGTTGCAGAGATGGGATTCACCTTGTGTGATGCCCATTGTTGATGGACAGTCATCCCTGGTTTCCAAAACAAACCACTCCCTGGACACTCCCATCTCTCTGCCAGCCCAGGAAACATTTCAGCAGGCCAAGATCATAAAATCATACAACCCCAGAATCCCAGAATGTTTTGGTTTAGAAGGGACCATTAAAGATCATCTCATGGACAAGGAAACTTTCCACTAGACCAGGTTGCTCCAAGCCTTGTCCAACCTGGCCTTGGACACTTCCAGGGATCCAGAGGCAGCCACAGCTTCCCTGGGCAACCTGTGCCTGGGACTCACTACCCTTCCAAACAAGAATTCCTTCCCAGTCTCCCATCTGTCCCTGCCCTCTGGCAGTGGGAAGCCATTCCCTGTGTCCTGTCACTTGAACCCTTGTCCCCAGTCCCTCTCCAGCTCTTCTGGAGCCCCTTTGGGCACTGGAAGGAACTCCAAGGTCTCCCTGGAGCCTTCTCCTCTCCTCTCTGAGCAATAAATTACTGCTCATGGGGCCACAACCTCTTGTAAAGTCACTCAAGAGAGGCTGAGATGATACTTTCAGGGATCTGTTGCTCACATCACCTACATCCTCTGGTGGCCTAACCCTTCACTTCTGCTGTGGGTTTTGGCAGCACAAAAATCTGGAAAACGCCGTCTCTGCCCTTTGAATTTCACGTTCGCTTTGCCCCAGTGGCGAGAAATGAAAGACGAACCAACAAGCCAACCACCCCTGCGGCATCAATTCCTCCTAGAGGCACAAAACGTGACATGATGGGAGAGAAGGGAGGAAGTTGGGGATGGAGAATCCACCAGTGCCTAAATCTGACACGAATCGCCCCGGCAGACGGCAGCGTGCAAGGAGCTCTCCGTCTCGGGTGCGCGTGGCGGCGTTTTTACCGACGCTGGCTCATTTTCACGGAGATTTTCTTTTTCTTTTTTTTTTTTTTTATTTTTTTTTTGCCTTTCAACCCGAACGTTTCCGCGTGGCAGCAGCTGTGGGGATGAGCTAATGCGGAGCTCAGTCATTTCCCTACTGAAACACGGGGCCTTCCTCCGCAGCCGCAGCCGCGCCGATAAATATCTCACGCTGAGGGGGGGGGGAAAGACAAAAGTAAATGCCTGTGCACGTGTAATTTTCAATGTCAATGTGTTCGGCGATGAGCCGGAATCATAAAAGTTATTTCATTTATTACAATCATACATAAAGCCTCTTAGAGCCGCAGACTTGGAATAGGCAATTATGCCCATAGGTTAATAACACACAGCGATTTGACTGACAACTGGAATTAGATTTAAACACGGCAGAGTGGCATGCTAAAGGCACTTTATTAAAACTGTGGCTGGGGATTTGTTCAAAATACCAGTTGCATACCTTTCCTGGTGAAATATTTATAGATAGCACTATATTGTGGCCTGTTATATTGCTTTTTCTCCTCCTTTCCCCCCACTGCTTTGAGCTCCGCTGGATAGCGAGGAATTCATCTGGTCAGATTTTCCTGGAGAGAGGGCAAATGCCCCGGGGTTGCTTAACGTGGGGTGATGTGATGGGATGTGATAGGCGGTGGGAATGGGCCACATAGCAGGGATTAACTCTACACCTGAATTTACCTCTCCATCCTCTCTGCTTATCACTCCCCAG